TACCTCAACTTTGATAAGTTTTACTATAGGCCACAGCAACGCGTGGCAGGGCACAGCTAGTCATTTATAAACTCTTTCCTGACTCCAAACTGCTAGGAACGGATTCTTTCTTAGTTTCAGCTTATAATCTATTTTTGTTGAAGCCTAGCTGAGCATCTTAATTGCTGTTTATTAAAACTTCTTTTCCTGTTCAAGGTCTTGCTCCCATCATTAACTCCTCCACCTGGTACCTCAAAATCAACTTCATTCTCCGATAACTGATCAGGGAACTGCGGCAAAAGGCTTTTCCCAAGCCCGGGACCTTGAGAATCCCCTTGCAGCAATTCAGACCCAAGCGACTCCTCATCCCCAGACCCTGGCCCAGGAACCGGATCAACATCCCCATTCCCTTCATGAACATTAACATGAACATCATCCCCATTCCCATTATGAATATCAACATGAACACCAGACACAATCACAGGCTGAACAAGCTGATATACCACATCAGGTATTGAAAATATTTATTTATTTATTTATTTACTCCATTTGTATACCGCATTTATCAGCCTGAGACGGCGACTCAATGCGGTTTACAATAAAAATGGCAACACTGAACAATATATAAGACGCACATACACAAACAACACACATAGTCATCGACGCCTCAATTAGAATCAGATCCCGTTCTCACAATCCTTTTTCCGTTCCTTGTTCCAATGCCGTCTTACTGAGTTAGTTGTCATTGCATAGTTATCCAAATGCCTGTTCATAGAGCCACGTCTTCACCCTCCTCCGAAACACCAGTAACGAAGGAGCCTGCCTGATGTCCACTGGTAGGGCATTCCATAGCCCAAATAGTGCGCCTTTCGCTGCTGTGCATTACATTTGGAAATTGAGTTGCTCAGTAGATTGGATGGCACATTAGACTAGTCAATATGGGTATTTAAAAGTTCAAGATTCACTACAAATGGACCTCTTTGGAAGAAGGGACTTGGGCTCCTTTGAACCAAGGCAGCCCATCTTATTTGCAAAGCTGACTTGCCGCAAAAGCTCCCTCAGCTTTGCTCCCTGAGTCAGAGAGTTCATTCCCCCTTTTTTCCTGAATTGCACTAAAAGGCTCACCCCTAGCCTCGTTGTGACGTCCGGACAGCTGATGCGGAGTTGTGTCTCTCTCCACAGCTACGCCATGCCCACCAAGACCACGGAGGTGATGCTGGTGCAAGAGCAAGGGTCCAAGATGAAGCTGGATGCCGTCCTTACGACCCACCAGCGTGTGGTTCAGGTAAGGAAGGGGTGCTTTGATTGTGCTTTTCCTGCATGGCAGAATGGGGTTGGACTAGATGGCCCATGTGGTCTCTTCCAACTCTGTTATTCTATGATTCTATGAGGAAGGGCCTTGTCTGCCTGCCTCTCTCCTTTCCCTTTACTCTGCTCTTCAAATCGCATTGTGACAACAGGTGATCTTCAACTGGAATTAAGATTCCCCCTTACACTCTGCTTGTGTTGGAAATCGCAACCTTCTTCAAGCCTGCACTAGTAATTTGTTTGTATATGATTCTGTTTGCTTACTGTATTTTATATGTATGTTCTGGTATGCAGCTTTCCCTTTATGTTTCTTGAGTTTGTGGAAGGGGATGCAGACCACATGATAGGATCTGGGACTGTTCTGAGCTCAGGCTCCATTTTAGAATACAGAGATGTCATGAGACTTTGGACCACTGAAGAGACGATTTTACTCAAACGAGTTTTCCGTTCCTTTTTTCCTCTCCCCAAACCCAGATCCAAGGCTTGAAGGCCACCTTCGCTCCCGTCCTCTTAGAAATCATTCAGAGTAATCAGCCCGAAGGAGTCCATCTGCTAGTGAAAGAGGTAAGTCAATTCTTGCTGAAGCTTTCACATTTTGCAATCCTGGCATTGGCTTTTTCGCTGC